TATCATTTTGTTTTATTATGAATAATATTATTTATATATGTTTTGATACAACTCTGTGTTGTCATTACATAATTTAAATTTTTACCATATTTATTCCATGAAAATAAATTTCCAGTAGACTTCAAGTTAAAGGTGAAAAATGATAAATCTTAAATATGATAGATGATTTAAATTAATAACAATATCATATCAAACATAAGATAGTGGAATAAAATTAATAATATATTTTCTGCTAATCATTTCCTTTTCTCTATTCTACTGTATTTTAATAAATGCAGCAATAACCCTATAATTTAATGGATTAATGATCACTGAAGGATAGAAAATCTATTGTACACTGGCCTGCACGTATAAAAATTTCAATATGATCTATTTATCCAGATGCACCAAATTATATCAATTTAGAATTAAGAGAGATTAAAGTTAGTCTATATTGAGTACTTATACTGAGAAGGCATTTAAATCCAGAGTTATGGAAGCCATTCTTTTAGAAAGAGATCAAAAGTGCCTACTTCAAAGAAAGCATGAACAAAGGTATATATTCAGAGAAATGTTGAGGTAAACCACATATTAATATATGGCCTGAGTTCCTACTATTCAGTTTCCTGATTCCAGCCTCAAGGCCGGTTAAATTTCCTTCCTAGGATTCTGAGAGCTATCTGTTAAGTCTTTCATTTATTGACCTAAGCTAATTTGAATGTAGTTGTATATTAGGCAACATTTCCTAACAAATATTTACTAATGAAGAGAAATACTTTATTGGATCAAAAAGTTCAGCTTCAATATAAACATTACACATGAAGCATGTATTCATATCTGAGCATGATGGCTCACATACATAACCCCAAAACTTATGAGATCAACACATGAGAATTGCTAGGAATTTTAAGTAATACTGGGCTACAAAGTGAGACTTTTCAGGAGACAGATTAAGGGTGGTGGGCAGCCCAACATTTAGTCTGTGGCATGGATGCAACTGGGGACTTTAAGCCAGCTCTACATTGACAAACAAGAGAAAAATCAATAACTGGGTGACTTTAAGTTTTGCACTTCACTGGAAAGGAAGCTTCTGTAAAGTTGAGGCCTATAGATTTGGAGCAGCTGAGAGTAGGGTTGCTGAAAAGATTAGTATTAAAAAGAAGCCAAATACTTTACAACAGGACAGTAGAAAAATGCTTTGAGGTCATATGAGGTATCAGCCCCACCCTTTAAAGACTCAAAATTGAAAATGTGAAAATTTTTGCTTTGCAAAAAGAACCCAGAGCATCATACTCCAGAACTGCATCCTAGGGAATACTTATCAGGGTTAGGGCTCACAGTACTCAGACATCCCTGCATGAAGATACTCCTACTGCTAGGGACCTTGATCTGGCAGCATAACTTGGCATCATCAACATAGCATTGCTTTTACAGACATGCAGAGTGCAAGAGCTGTAGGGTCAGGAGAGTTTCCTCACAGATTTTGGAATAAGGCTGGGAGGCCAGGCAGTGTAGAACATTTTTGTGGTTTACAACATACATAATTTAATGTAACTATAAAGATACAAAGTTAACTGTACTTTTGTCTAAACATTATGTGACATAACTGTTTTACCTTGCTAAGTTCTGCTTAATATTTTAAAAGTATTAAGCAGTATATTGAGAGTCTTTTAATACTACATTTAAATTTGCTCTCAGAAATTTCGCAATTTGCTTTTTATTCTTTAAATGGAGAAAAGGTGGTGACTTTTTCCATTTAAAAAGAAATGCTAAATCATGGTTAATCTTATGTATAGTACATCGTGTCCTCTTCCATAAGGAATTCTAAAACTTTTATCTTTTTCACTGACCCTTGTCAATACCTCATTCATTTGGCAATGTTTTCATGTTCTATTATTTATTGCAACGAGAAAGACTGATACATTTTCATAAAATGTGTATCAATAAATTATACACTTTAAAAATATTAAGGAACCATTTAAATCTTTTGATGGTTTAAATTATTTAACAAAATAAATCAATATTAACTTACCATTTATGTCCGTCTTGACTTACAAGTGAAACAGTCTACAAGCATAAACTTGATTGTGGTTGTTTCCATTTTAGAGACAGTGATATTGGCTCCCAAATGAGTATAGATAAATAATGGCATTGTTTCTCTGCTTTTTTTCCCTAGAATGGTCTTGCTTCTTCCCTCCTTCCTCTTTTTCTTTTAAATTATCTTTGGTATTTACTTTAAAGAAAACTTGCTCCATTTCTTTTGACAACTCTTACAGTTCCTTATTAAATTTATGAACGCAGCTTGGAATTTTTTTAAATCTATAGTTATGACATATCCTTTCTTGAATTTTTAAAGTATTCATTGAACCGTTTTTAAAAAATTGTATCCATTTTTTGATGTTTTTATTTGAATATTCCTTTTTGAGTCCTTCTGGAGATGTTTAATAATCCATGCCTTCTAATAGGCATATTTTCCAAATCTTCAAATGGATTCTGCCTCAAATTTTATTAAATTTTGCTATGTAAGCCCTTATATTCTTTTTTGACTCTCTTTTAAAATATCTTTTAGTAGGTTCGAACCCTCTTTTTCTCTCCCGATCCCATTTCTGGCTGCCAACTGTGCTTCATCCTATAAGCTTCTCCACATCTGTGTTGCCCAGGGTCTACTTGCCCTTCTTTGCATCCTTCTTGGCATCTTTTTTGGCGTCCTTTTTCCCTTCAGCAGATTCTGAGGCAACTTTCTTGGCGTCTTTCTTGGCATCTTTCTTGGCGTCTTTCTTGGCATCTTTCTTGGCGTCTTTCTTGGCATCTTTCTTGGCATCTTTCTTAGCGTCTTCCTTTGATTCACTTTCTGAAGCACCCGGCTTCTTTTCATCTTTCTTGTCTTTCTTTTTCGCATCTTTCTTAGAATCCTTTGTTTCATCACCTTTCTTCGCCCCATCCTTCTTTGCACCTCCCTTTTCAGGTTCTGAATCTGTAGTTGCATCTTTGCCTTTTGCATCTTTTTTACCTGTTTTTGCATCTTTCTTTGACCCGGGTTTTTCGCCTTCGGATTCTGTAGCTGAATCCTTGCCTTCCTTCGCACCTTTCTTTCCTGCTTTTGCACCTTTCTTTGACCCGGGTTTTTCACCTTCGGATTCTGTAGCTGAATCCTTGCCTTCCTTTGAGCCTTTCTTTCCTGCTTTTGCACCTTTCTTTGACCCGGATTTTTCGCCTTCGGATTCTGTAGCTGAATCCTTGCCTTCCTTCGAACCTTTCTTTCCTGCTTTTGCACCTTTTTTTGACCCGGGTTTTTCGCCTTCGGACTCTGTAGCTGAATCCTTGCCTTCCTTTGAACCTTTCTTTCCTGCTTTTGCACCTCTCTTTGATCCGGCCTTTTCGCCTTCGGATTCTGTGCCTGAGTCTTTGCCTTCCTTTGAACCTTTCTTAACTTTTTTTGCACCTTTCTTGGCCCCTGCCTTTTCGTCTTCAGTTCCTGTATCTGAATCCTTGCCTTTCTGTGCATCTGCCTTAGGTTTCATTTCTGACTCTGATTCTGATGTATCCTTCTGTCCCTTTTTACCCATACCTGGAGATGAATCCAACTTTGGGGAAGGTGCTGTTTTAGGTGGAGGTTTTCTCCTGGCAGCTAAATAAACAGATGGTCTTTCAGAAATTTTCATTAAAGACCGGTGCATCCATAATGGTCGTCTACGTTCGTGCCCTAGTTTTTCATCATCAATTGTCTGAATATTGATTAGAGTAATAAAGAATAAATTGTGAGACACGTAGCATTTAACAACTATCAATTATATTTTACTTTGAACCATAAGAAATTTCAGTTACTTATTTAAAAATGGATAAAAGATAGATCTTGATATAGGTTCTCACTTTCAAAGTCTCTGGAAACTAAATCCCTGACAATTTAGATAAAAACTTGAAATACCTCCTTCTTGGTAACATATAAATTTGATATTATCAGGTAGATAACAGAAATAGTTAAATCTCTAATATTCAGTAAATAGTAGATGTATTTTATTTTTAACTGCTAATGAAATATTTCCAGATATTACAATTTATTTTAGGAATATTATACACATAAAAATAAAAGCAAAAATAGTAAAATAAAAATTAATGATCTATTTAATTTGTGAATATGTTTCTTTATATATTTTCATTCCCTATGGTAACTCCAGAAATGTTGTGAGATGTTTATTGTTCAATACTCAGAATCTTGAATTCTAGGTTGTATGAAGCAAGGAAGCTTTAAAACTTCCTTAGAGCATAATGTAATTCCACAGCTATATTGAGGAAGTTTCTCTAGATGGTGTACATTTACTAAGTGTGTATATTAACTGCCAAGTCGCATTTGCAGATTTCTGTGCTTCTCATACACATGTTATACAATGGAGGACAAATGAGCAAATAGTTAATGAGACATATGGGATAAAATGAAATGTAAATAAAATACATTTATTTTACCTGAGTAGCAGGATTTGAATTATTTTTAAATGTGCTGTCAACTACAGCATTAAAATAAGGTATGACTTCTGTCTATGTTTCTTCAGTTAAATTTAATTTGAATATAAAATGCAACTCCACAATTTCACTAGCCTTATTTCAAGTGTTCCTTAGCCTCAAAGGACTGAAAGATATAAAATATTTCCATCATCTTAGAAATTTTTTGGTCAGCTCTGACGCATATTATGTAATAACTATATTATTTCACAAAATTATATTTCATTACTTACAGAAGTTGTACTTTTATTTAGTTGGGAAGGTATTGTTCTCCTTTTTGTTCCTGGCCTTTGTGGTTTGGGAAATGCCAGGGAAAAGTGTTGTTGATTCCATGATTTTTTGCTTAATTCACTGACTAAAATAAGAAAAAAAAAATACACATTTCAGAGTAAATAGTTAGAAATTTATAGATGTGGAATGGCACTAATTGCAATCCATGTTGTACAAATGAATAAACAAATAAATCAAATTATGGGTTACTTTTAGCCATATATTTGAAATTCACTATAATCAATTTGAGAAAAAATTGATTTTTTATTTATACCAGTTTTTAGATACCTACATAAAAATGTCATTATGAAACTAACATAGTCTATAATGTAAAGCAAAGAAACAGCATTTTTGTTTCCATTTACATTTTTCTAACTCTTCCATTCTATGCTTTCTTTCCTTCCTTTCTTCCTCTCTGTTTCTTCTTCCTTCTTTCTTTCTTTCTTTCTTTCTTTCTTTCTTTCTTTCTTTCTTTCTTTCTTTCTCTTTCTTTCTTTCTTTCTTTCTTTCTTTTTCTCTTTGTTTCTTTCTTTCTCTCTTTATTTCTTTTTCTTTCCAAATCCACTGAGAGCAGAAATCATGTTAACCATTTCCAAGGCCCCCAAAGTATTTAGTACAATCATGTCTGGCATAAGATATTCTTTAATTATGTGATGGACTTTAGGTATTAAGGTTTATAATCCCTTAAGTTAATAATTATTATTCTAAGCTGAAAGAATGAATGCTACAAACTTAAAAATCAGATTGCTATTGTCAATAGGCTTAATAAATAACATTGATAAACATGTGTATGGAATTGTGGCTGAGAAGGTGAAGGTACCTGAAAACTCCAGTAAAATTATTTAAGGATATTTAAGTGAAAAATGAGTTTTATAAGAGACGTCATAACTCTAAGTATTTTCAGTATTTTTATGTGCAGTTGAAAAGAGATTTCCCATTGATCTTCTAATGGCAGTATTAGGATCAGAGAGATTAATGTACAGAATGAAAAGCATATTTAAGCTCAATACATGAAGGGAAATTACTTGCTATTAAAGTCATTGAGAATTAGATTTGCCTTATCTAGCAAAGATATTTTTTTGCCAATGATAAACTAGTTGTAATCTATTAGGAAGGTAGTAAAAGAAGTTGGGTCAGAGATTGTTTGTCCAGTTTCTATAGCAGTTTTCCAATGTAAGATTATTTGATTACATGACTTCTAACCTAGAAATATATCCACCTTTATATCACAGAATATATTTTCTTACTCTTCATTGAGTATATGAGGAAGATAACTTGAAAAATAAAACAATCATTAGTTGTACTCTATGGCAGTTTTTGTTTTATCATTTTGAATGAAGGATGATAATTTAATCCTGAAATTAATCATGTATCTTTACAATATAAATATTAAATTCTTTCTTACCTGGAATGTAATTATCATATGTTCCAAAGTTTATTTTTTGGCTATCAAAATAAAATGGAAAAGTTTTAATTAATTTTGCAAAATCGCCCCATTTAAAGATCATCATTATATATTAGCATTTGCCACTGAAACCTAGATGAACATATTTGCACTCACAGATCTTCATTATTATGTAAGATAATCTATGAGTAAGGTAAGCATGAAAAATTGTGTGCTCGAACTTCAGCAGGAGAGAGAGGGAGAGAGAGAGAGAATATCCATTTATATTTATATGCTTCATAAATAATATAAAATATTAAATACTATACATACATATATACACATCTTCCCAATTTACTCTGCATTACATATGTACATTTTTAAAAATTGCAAATTTATGATCAAATTGTTTTTCTTATCTCACACTACAGATTCTCTTCCATTTAGTTTGATCCAAGACATCATTAACAGCCTGTTTAAGAGAGAACTCTCAAAATATTATCATGACTTAATCAAATCTAAATCATTAAATAGAGTATGTTTCTTTGTGTTTGCTTTTTTTTATGTCAACCATTGTTCTTGTTCTCTATGAAAATTTGATTAAAATCAATGTTCCAAACTGTTTTCTATTTATAGATCCATACTTTTTTATTATTCTCTGTACATGTTTATTTCCATAAGTGGGAGTTTCATTATTTAATTTTTATTTCTTTGTCATCAAAACCCACAGTAAGATATCTTAATGAAATACTATTGCATGTTGTTATGTTATATTACTGATATAGAATCATTGTTGTTCATGAGTAAGTTTGAGGCTTTTATGTGCACATACATACACATTTCAAACACATATATAGTGTCTTATTTTCATAGTACAAAAAATTAAATATTTAGAGGAAAGAAAAACCTCATCATAATGTCTTTATTCAGACATGAAGTTCCCAACTTGAAACCTGGTATATTTTTGTCACTTACCAATAATTTTAATCAATCAACTGAATAAAACATTGTCCTGAGCTCTAAAAGATACAATAGAAATAAAGAATAGTAAGAGGGCCTTACTCCTTCTAACTCCTAACTCCCCTTCCCAAAGGGTAAGGTTATATATTGAAAAGTTTATTCATTATAAACATATTTTGTATTAGTTCTCCATTCTGATTTTTTCACATGGTTAAATGTGATGATTAATAACTACCATGAATTGTCATATTCTAAGCTGTACTTGATTATATTGTTATTGCTGATTGTACTGCTTGGTCTAGTGTTGTGATTGATATAATCATTTATCTTTCCTGGTATAATGAAAATGATTCTGCCTCAGAGTCCCTAGAGACACAATACCCTAAGACCAGCTATATCTGGAAGATACCTCTGAGAAGCAATTATTCCATAACTTTTTAAATACAAACAACAAAAATATTTATAATAAGCAATACTGAAATATTTACCCAGGAATTAAACCTAGGGATATACCAACAATAATAATAAAATGAAATAATATTTAACCAAGGCACAAACCCAGTCTTCCAGCTTCCTTAAGGAAAATTATGGGGGAAAAGAATTGGAAAACTCTGATAATCAACCACGTGGAAAACCTGAACTGATACCACTAAAAGTAAAAAAAAAAAAAAAAAAAAAAAAAAAAAAAAGATGAATGAGGCTCTAGAAAAATTCAAAACAAATAGTTTACATTAACTACAGAGATGTACATCAGGATAAAAGTGATTATTAGAATCTCTAGAAGAGAAACAGACAAAAAGTAGATGAGTTCAAGACCATGATGGTAACTGAATGCTCAGCATAGGAAAGAAATGGAATCCATGAAACATATTCAAGCTGATGTCCTGGAGATTAAAAACTCTATTGAAAGTATACACATCACACTTAACCAATCTAAAGACAGAATATCATATATAGAAAACAGGATGGTGGTAGGTAACCATGAAAAGAGGGAACTCTTAAAAATAGCAAGGGATCATGAAAAATCAATCCAACAGCTACTAGATGACACAAGGGAGAATAATATACTATTGATAGGAGTCCATGAAAAAGCAAGAGAAAGTAAAAAAAACATAAAAATAAATTTTCACAGAATTACTGAAAGAAAACTTCCCCAACAGAGCAAAAGAACTTTATATACAGATAAATTAATCATATAGAACTCCAACTAGCCACAATCAAAAAATCTACACTTAGACATATAATAGTCAAGATCCTGGAGACCCAACAGAAGAACAAAATATTACAAGCAGTTAGAGAAAAGAAACAAATCTAATGCAAAGGAAAGTCCATCAGAATCACCACAAACTTTTCAACATAAACCCCCAAGTCAAGACAGCCTGGAGTGAGATATTTCAAGTCCTAAAACAAAAACTCCAATTTATACTGATGTATCCTGTAAAAATATTTTTCAAAATTGATGGGGAAATAAGTTACTTTCATGATAAAACATCTGAGAAACTTCATGAGTACCAAACCAGCACTCCAAACTTTTTTTTTTTGGTAGCAGGGATCAAACTCAGGCTCTTCTGCTTACAAGGCAGGAAGCAGAACTACTGAGCCAAACCCCCTACCCTCCAAACAATTCTTAACAATATCCCAGAAAAAGACAATGAAGGTCTCAACTCCATGAGGCCCAACAGAGCAAATCCACCAGGCAACGAAAGAAATTAAAGGGGAGGGGGGAAATTAAAAAGAAGCAACAAGAAAATAATATGACAATTATAATTCAATACATATCAATTATATCTATCAATGTTAATGGTCTCAATTCACCAATCAAAAGAAATAGACTAGAAGAATGGATTAAGAAGAAAAATCCAACAATATGCTGTATACAAGAAATGTACCTAGCTCAAAAAGAAACTCATAGACTGAAAGTAAAAGGATGGAAAACAATTTTCCATGTGACAGGAACCTGGAAAAAGCACGGGTCGCTATCATATTTGTAGACAAAGTAAATCTCAAACGAAAATTAATGAAGAGAGACAAAGAAGGTCACTATATCCTTGTAAAGAGAACAATCCAAAAGGAGATGACAATCATAAATATATATATACACTAAATATTAATGCCCCCAACTATACAAAGTAAATATTAAGTGACATGAAAAAACAAATAAGCACTAATACAATTGTATTAATTGATACAATTGTATCAATTCCCCACTATCACAAATACATCATTAGACAAAAAATCAACAACAGTGGGCTAGGGATTTAGCTCAGAGGTTCAGTGGCCTGCCTTGCAAGCGCAAGTACCCGAATTCAATTCCCGGTACAAAAAAAAAAAAAAAAAAAAAAAAAAAAAAAAAAAACAACAAAATACTAGAACCAACTAAGCTTCTGAACAATGGACTTAATAGATTTCTACAGAGTATCCCATCTCACAAAAATAAGAACATACATTCTTCTTGGATGCACATGGGTCATTCTCCAAAAGAGACCATGTAGTAGCTCATAGAACATGTTTAAGTAAATGCAAAGGAATGGAAGTTATCCCGTGTATAGTACCAGACCACAGTGCAATTCTATTGGAGATCAGTAGCAAAAGAAACCACAAGAACTTCATATTAGAAATTGAATAGCATTCTCCTGAAAACCAGTGGGTCACAGATAAAATTAAAGAAGAAATTAGACAGTTTTTACAAATAAATGAGAATCCAATACAACACACAGGAATCTAGGGACACTGTGAAAACAGTTCTGCAAGGGAAATTCATAACAGTGTATGCTCACATTAGGAAAACAGAACAAACTCAAATAAACAACCTAATGTTGAATCTTAAGCACCTAGAAAAAGAAGAGCAAGACAAACTCACAGCTCATACAAGGGAGGAAATTATAAATATCAGAGCAGAAATCAATGCAATTGAGACTAGAAGAATGATACAAATATCAACAAATCAAAGAGTTCATTTTCAAAAGAATAAATAAGATTGATAAACCTTTAACCAACATTATCAAAAAAGGAAAAAAAAGCTCAAATTCATGTAATTAGGAATAAAATAAGGTGAAGTCACAAAGATCTGCACAAATCCAGAAAACTGTCAATAGCCTGTTCTAGAATAAAACAGAGAACACAGAAGAATTGTACATATTTCTAGAAACATGTGAATTAACAAAATTGAATGAAGATAATATAAAAATACTAAACACCCCAATTACAATCAGAGACATTGAAAGGTAAGCAATACTTTCAAATTCACACCTGGAAGCAAGTGTTATTTTACTTCTAAAGCCAGGGAAATACCAAATTGAAAAAGAGAACTGGAGGCCAATCTCCCTAATGGACATAAATGAAAAATTCCTCAGTAATATACCGACCAACAGAGTACAGAGTGTCATCAAGATTATAAAAGCTGACCAAGTGGGATTTATCCCAGGGATTCAAGGATGGTTCAACATATGTAAATCAATAAATGTAATACACTATATTAACAGAGTCAAGGACAAAATTACAATCATCTCAATAGATGGAGAAAAAGCATTCCACAAATTTCAACACCTATTTATGATAAAACCTCTGAAGAAAATTGGAATAGATGATCTTTATCTCAACTTGATAAAAGCTATCTATGAAAAACCAACAGCCAACATTATACTAAATGTTGAAAAACTGAAAACCTTCACACTAAAATAACGAACAAGACAAGGATATCCACTATCACCATTCCTGTTCAATATAGTTTTAGAAACAATAGGCACAACAATTAGACAAAAGAAAGAAATAAAAGCAATAAAAATGGGAAAGGAAGAAGTTAAACTGTCATTATTTGCTGATGATGGGACACTCTACCTAGGAGACTCCCCCAAAAAAACTCCACCAAAAGACTTCTAGTGTTAATTTACAGATTCAGAAAAGAAGCAGAATACAAGGTAAACACTGAAAAAACAATTACCTTCTTGTACACAAATAACAGACTCACTGAGAGTGAAATTATTGAAACAATCCCTTAACAATAGCACCCCAAAAATGTAATATCTAGGAATCATTCTAACAAAGAAAGTAAAAGACCTCTACATTGAGATTTACAACACACTGAAAGAAGAGATTGAAGAGGATATTATAAAATGCAAAGACATCACTTGTTCCTTGATAGGGAAGAACCAATATAGTTAAAGTGGCCATACTTTAAAAACTGCCATACAGATTCATTGAAAATTCCAACAGTATATTTCACAGAATCAGAGAAAAAAATTGAAAAATTCTTTTGGAAACAGAAGATAGCAAAAGCAATTCTAGGCAACAGAGACATGGCAGGGGATATCACAATCTCCAACTTGAAACTATACCACAAAGCCACTGTGATTAAAAAAAACAAACTACATGGTACAGGCAAAGAAACAGACTCTTCTATTCAGTGGAACAGATTAGAAGATGCAGAAACAACTCCTGAAATACTCAGCTAGCTCATCTTAGACAAAGAAGCGAACCATCCTCACTGAAAGAAAGATAGCCTCTTTAATAAACAGTGTTGGAAAAAACTGGATTTCAACTTGCCCAAGATTAATGCTAGTCCCCTATCTTTCACTATGCACTAAACTAAAATCCAAGTGGATTAATGGTATAAATATTAAAATAGAAACACTAAACTTTCTGAAAGATAAAATTAGTTAGAACTCTTCAAGATATTGGCATAAGAAAAGGCTTTATGAACAAATTCTCAGTGACACAGGAACGAGCACAAAGAATCCATAACTGGAATCTCATCTTTTTGAAAAGCTTCTGCAATATGAGAGGAATCACCAGCAGAGTTGAGTGAGCTCACAATGTAGGAAAAAAATTTACTAGCTCTTCCTCAGATAAAAGCTTACTATCTAGAATATATGAAGAACTCAAAAAAATCAGTACCCCCAAATATAAAGAAACAATTCAAAAATGGGCTTCTGAAATGAAAAGACAGTCCTCAGACAAATAATCAAAAGCAGCAAATAAACATATGGAAGTTCAGCCTCACTGGACATTTGAGAGATGCAGATGGAAACAACACTGAGATTCCAACTTACCACAGCAAGAATGACTGTTATCAAGAAATCAACCAAATGTTGGTGGGGTTGTGGGGAGAAAGGAACCATTTTCCTTTGTTGTTGGTGGGAGTGCAGACTGCTGCAAGACTGTGGGTATCAATATGGAGATTCCTCACATAAGTAGGGTTTGAAGTGCCATTTTACCCAGCTATTCCTCAGCTGGGTATCTTCCCAAAATAATTAAAAGAATCATGCCACAGTGATGCACCCATCTTTATAGCAGCACAGTTTGTAATAGCTAAAACTTGAAAACAGCCCACTTGCCCATCAACCGGAGACTGGATAAAGAAGATGTGGGTTTTTTTTTTTTTATAAAATGGAGTACTACTCAGCCATAAAGAATGAGAAATTAGAGACACAGCTAAGTGTATAAACATTGAGGCCATGCTCTTAAGTGAAATTATTAAGACACGTGTAAATACCGAATATTTTCTTTGGTGTGAAAAACTAAAAGTGTAAATAAGAATCAAAATGTATAATCAATATTGTGTAATAGTAAAAAATGGTGTAAAAGAGTAGAAGATTGGGAGGGGTAGGGAAAATGTAAAAAGGGAAAAGGAAAAACATAAGAAAAAGAAAACTTGAAAACAATGTCTTTGTAAACGCAAGGGTGAAAGGGGTGATGGGAGGCTGGGGAATGGGGGAAAATAAGAACCAAGATAAGTCATATAAAGGTACAATATTGCAATGGTGAGTGTAATTGTGTTGTATGCCTAATACGTACCAATAAAATTAATTTAAAAGATACGATGTGATGACCTACCAATTATCCAAACTAATGTTAACTAAATATATTCATTAAAATTATTTGATTTATAATGTTGGTATATCTGTTTGGACCTAACTAATATGCATTTAAACACAACTGCAGATATTTTGATTCCTGCTTTATTCCAAATTGTGTGAAAGAGAAAATGTTTCATGCTTCCGAATAATATTATTTTGTCTTTCATTAAGTTTGTTGGTATATTTTAGACATACAGTACAGTTACATTCATCATTAGGAACTTGTACCTTTACGTGACATATCTTGGTTCTTATTTTTCCCCATGCCCCTGCCCTCCCTTCAAACACTGCACCCCTTCCTATTTACAAAGACTTTGTTTCCATTTGGGGGAGGGTTCCAGGGATCGAACTCCAGTCCTTGCACTTGTGAGGCAGGTGGTGGAACCACTGAGCTAAACTCCCAGTTTGTTTCCATTTTTTTCATTTTTTAATGAATAATATTAAATTTGAAGTTTGAGAATAGTACATACACGTGGTGTTTTAACATCCTTATATAATCATCAGAACATATTCTGGTTTTTTAGAAGTTGAAAAAGTATTTCAAAATTAAATAGTTCTTTCTAAAGAACCAATGACAAAACAGAAAATTCAGTGAAAACTTGTGAAAGAGAAACAGGTTTACAAGAAATTATTGTTGTCTTATGTCAAAAGCACAGAGAAAAAATTGTAACTTTAATAAACCCCCAAGAAAAAAGATTAAAATCAGTATGTTGAATATCAGCATTAGGAAAACCATATGAGAAAAAAATGTCAGAGCAGGAAAGATGTTTCAATTCATATTTGCAGCCAATATTAGTAGCCTGCAAACCCTGAATCATTAATAAAAATTAAAATTACAGGTGAATATCCCTGCTCAGTATAGACATATGCTTTCTTAAATTAAAAAAATTCTATTATGAAATGTGTAAAATGGCTAATACATTATGATAATTGAAGTTATTCTCCAAAATATAAGGTTATTTTACCAAAGCAATCACCCTCAGTGACAAAACAAATAAGCAAATTAATCAAATGGTTAAGCTCACAAATCTTTGAGAAAAGTAATATTCACTCATAATTAAAAACTATGGAAAAGCTAGGAAGGTAAAATATTTTCCTTAAAGGTTAAAATGTCTAGAAAATATCTCTTACTGAAATTAATGCTGACATTTTTACTGTCTTTCTTCTATAATTTCATTGGGGAAATGATCAATTGTAGTATTTTTATTCAATGTTGTAACCAGGCCATAATTTGTTCTATAAAGAACCAATTCAAGATTGGAAAGAGAGAAGTTGATTTTTTTCTGTTTGCAGAGAACATGAGTGGATGAATAGAATAACCAATGACATCTATAAATTAATCAGAGGTGTTAAGTGGATGGGATGAGACTATACATAATGTATACATAATGTAATCTCTGCATTACATAATGTACAATTATATTATTATATTACATTATATAATCTCTGATTATATTAATTATAATTCTACCTACCAAGAAAACAGAAGATGTAAGCGTACTAAAACTCTAAAATTTACAGTGACATTAAAACACATTAGAAAGTTTATTAATAGAATTGAATTGAATGCTAGACCTAATGCACCTAACAGACAACTATAGAACATTTTATTTAATAGTATATGGAATATTCTCTAAGCTATGCAACACGATAAGCCACAAAATCAGTTTAAACAATTTTTTCAATTGAAAATTTGTCTACTGTCCACAATGCAAGAAAAAAAACTAGAAATCAATAGCCAGAAATTTTTCTGCAATATATAGACACATGGAAATTACTCTTGAACAACCAATAGGTGAAGGAAGAAATTCAGAAGTAAATCTAAAATTTTATTAAAATAAATGAAAAAACACAATATATCAAAATCTGTGAGAGACATCAAAAGAAGTACAAAAAGGTAAGTGAATTTAGAACAATCAGCATCCATTTCAAAATTGCAGGATGATCTCAAACAAAATACTATCTTTGCATCTCAAAACACTAAAAAACAAGAAATGGAACTGAAGGGCACTAAAGTATGTGAAACAAAATCAAGCACAAACAGACAAGTCCAATGAAATGTGGAATAGGAAATGATTGGTCTTACAGAAGTTCAGAATATAATTTTGATTATTTTAGGAGATATGTTCAATCTGATTTAAAAATTAAGTATTATATACATGTATCAAATATAATTTTCTGATTTTATGTGATGTTTTATGCTTAAGCATGTTAAAATAAAGATATAACATTATTCTGTCATGATAGACATTAGAACATAGAGCACTTTGTAATAGTCATCAAGTCCCTCAGCCCCAAAGGTAATGACAAATATATTCAAAATTGGTCTTAAATGGTTGTGTTCTAAGGAAGAAGACACCATGCCTATGAAAAACCCATTTTAATTTCAAAGTTTATAGCTCATCTTGCTTTTCACAGCACTACTAAAAGCTAGCCATTCTTTTCTTTATATTTAAAAATTCCTTTCCTTCATCCACTTTTCTTTGAAAAGGTTCACATATTTGGAAGTACTCTTTTTACGTCTTATTTTAACAGAAAATTAAGTATAAGGAAACTCCCTCATTAAACTTCTTATGTCAAAATAACCTAGTCTCTATTACAGAATATTTTTACATACTGAATGTTTTTCAAGGGAGACATAATTAATGATTGTCTAGTCTTATTTTGTAGGGCTGCTCAACTCTCAAGTTTTACCCCCCCGTACTCATAACCTTTGAAGTTCAGTAGCTCTCCTTAGTCACTTTGATATTCATAAAACAGGTTCCCAGAAATTTCCAAATGGATTCTAGGGAGACGAGTTTTTTTAAGAATCATGAATTGTTTTATTTCATATGCCCCAGTATACAGGGTTTACAAGTCAGTAAAAAACACATTCAAAGCCATCTATTTTGGTGAAGTATATGAACTAAGTCTTAGAACAAAGTAACCTATGATGTTGCTTGAGAATGTAGGTCCTTAATTAAACACATTCTCTTTTGTTTGTGAATGGCATAATAATAATGTAGTAACCATCACCTCAGAACGAAGAGAAAAGCTAAATAAAGTATCTGGTTATTTTAAAACAATAAAAAAAAATGTGACAAAAGGACTTACAATCTTGGTACAGACATTTTTCCCTCCTATGACTTGGCCAGGACTTGTGTGTTGTAAATTCAGATTAGTGATGTAGAGCGGCGACATCATAAAGAGACCAAGAATATTGAGATTTAAAGGGGAACAACAACAGAAGCCAATTCTACCTGTTCTTTGTGCTGACTAAAATTCTAACATTTAAGTTTATTTTTTCTTTCTATAATTGACTGCATTTAAAAATAACTGATTGATTTACATATTTATAAAATATGTGCTTTGATTTTTCATGTTGTTTTAATTTATTGACACATATGGAAAAAGCAAATCTAACCATTTAACTCTGAAGATCAGTTACTGTCTTAATTTCCCTTATATATCTTATGCCAAACCCATTGCCTATCTTTATATTTCCCTTATATTTCTTAATCTTAGAGTTTACTCATAGCTACAAGATTTTAAACAAGGCTAAATACTTATTAGACTTATAAATTTTAGTTCTGAGATAGTATATACAGCAACTCCACCCCACTACTGGATAAATAAAAGTATATATACCATATATATTACATTAATAAAAGTATAATTTTTAAATCTAATTATTTTAGGATTTGTGTTCTATACCTGGCTTATGAGCGTGCAGTGAGAGCCCAATTGTGACTGGGCAGCCAACAATTTATTACCATTACACTATGAACTCTTAAATTAATTTTTCATTGCCATTCTTAATTAAAATTGTACAACCTTTTCAGATCTTGGAGAGCCACCGATCTTTTCATAATGAGTGTGTGTTAGTCTTCTTTTGCTACATAACAAATTATCACAAATTTAGTCATACAAAACAACACCCAATTACTGTCTTACAATTCTTTAGGTCAGAGGGTCAGATAGGTTTAACTGGTTGCTCTGCTCAGAGATTCAATTTTCAGGGCACTTTGTCTCCCAGATTAATGCCCCCACATGCTCGGTGCCTTCTGAGACTTAATCTTTCTGCTTCCAGTTCATGCCTTATTGCTTCATTTTCCAGCTGGGTCCTAAAATGGATGAAGGCAGAGGGTAAAAAAAAATAACTAAATAGTCTGTCTAAAACTTTTTTGTAACATCATTCATTCAGTCCTGTAAGCAGTACTTCATAACTGAATCATGTCCCAAGAGGTTCTACCTCTTCATAGCAATAAAATATAAACTAAATTTCAGCATGCATTTTAGAGGGAACATCCATTCAAACCATAGTTTTCTAAAAGTCATGTCCTTCTCATTTTGAATCAATGTTTATTCCATGTTTATTGCACTCCAAAGTTCTTGATTCATTTCAGGATTACTTTCAAAGTATACGTACAAAGCTTCCTTGAAATATTACATACATCCGCTACAGGTGAGACTCAAACTATGATTAAAATTGTGCCAGATCCCAATCCATGTGTGAAACTGTATCAAAAAGATTATTTTTTTTCAAAACACAGTTATGGGACAAGCATAAAATAGATGATCCCATTCCACAAGGAAGAATAGGAAAACAAGAAATCAATAATAGGTGCCAAGTAACTCCAAAACTCAACAATATAGATGATATTAAATCTTAAAGCTTGAGGATTATTTTGTTTGCCTGTATGTTCTGCCTTTCACAAATATTGGGGCAAGAATTGGACACCCATGGCCCTAGGGACCTGATGCCCATACGTTTTGGTCACAGCTAACATGGCAGCTTCCATGGATAGTTGTGGGTACTAATACCTCTCCAAGGCTAGAATAGGATTTCAGTTGCTCTACATTTGTGGGATCTCAGAATATTCTTCTCCTTTCTCATGCTTCACCTCAGGGTCATTCTCATGGATGATATATTGGCCTGGTTAATAATGTGCAATAGATTCCATAGGTCATGTAAAGAAGTTAAAATTTCCCTAATGTAGAGACACTAGAAATATACAATCTTATTCTAACCAGATAATTTCTTAGTTTAATGCTGATGTTATAAAAACACTCTAAATTCAGGCTGGGGATTTAGCAAAGTGGCACCACATCTGCTTCTCAAGTGCAAGGTCCTGAGTTTGATTAACAGTACCGCAAAACAAAACAAGCAAACAAACACTCTAAATTGGGTAATTACTAAATGAGAGAAGTATGTTACTTACACTATACCAAATCAAGGTGTAAGGAATTTTGTCTTGCAGGGGCCTTTTGCTTGCTTATGGCATTTTCTTTCTAGGACCTCACATGGCAGAAGGAGAACACAACTCCTCTGAAGGCTTCACTCAGAGCATCAGTGGTTCTACACTTTGGACCTAACTGCCTCCTGAAATGCTCAACTCTTACTATCGTAATATGGGGGATGAAGTTCCAATACATGAATTTAGGGGGATACAAACATTCATGCCATAACATTTTATGCATGGCCCCCAAAAAACATATCCTTCTCATACACAAAATAAATATATTCCATCCCTGTCTCTTCAAAAATCTTGGTCCAGTATCAAACTTAAAATCTAAATTGAAAAACTCATCTAAAAGTCATCTAAAGAAGATTGGATGAAAGGTAAAGTATAAGCCTTGAGGCAAATTATTCTCCAGCTGTGAACTTTAATATCCAATGAGTTGGAATTTTCTAAAATACAATGGTGTGATAGGCATAGCTTAGTTATTTCCATTCCAAAGTCGAGAAGTAATAAAGAAGCAAACAGTAACAGATTGTAAACAAGTTCAGTCTAAGGTTCTAGAATAGACTTGGTTGACAGGACATCGTGCCCTTCCAGACACACCTGTGGTGGGGTTCAGACCCTAAGACTCCAAGCAAACCTGCACATGTGGCAACTTCTGCATCAGCTCTCATACGTTGGGCTTGACTTCACTTCTACTAGCCTGGAGATTGTATGAAGCTGAGTTCCCTGAAACAGTCCTATTCCCAAGCCTCCAATGGGCACTGCCCTAGCTAGAATTCTCTGGGGTATTTAGGTATTAATTTTCATCTTTTTCACTTTGAGTAGTGTTTTTTTTTTTTTTTTTTAATATGTATCAGAATTACCGGGACGGCTTGCTAAGTACCAACTAATGGGATCTCATTCCAGTGTGTCTAATTTAATGATTCATGAGTAAGGCTTGAAAATTTGCATTTTAAATGAGTTCCCAAGTGAAACTGATGCTTCTGGTGAAAGAACGAGAAATTATTGCTTTAATCATACTGCCATAACTGAATGAAATTTGAAATGAAATGATGTTTTTTCTTCCTTTTTGTAAGAGATTGTTAGGAATATCATCACTGTTATATGCAAATGTGTTAATCAGCTACATCTTACAATAAAAACATCATCATAAAGAAAAAAGGTTTATATTTCTTCCTGATTTTAGAGACTGGAGTCCAAGAGAGTATGAAACTTTTGCATTGGGCCTGTGGTGGAGGTGCTGGATAGTACTGGGAGGAACAAACTGCTCACATCATAGGCCAGAAAGAGGGAAGAAGACAGAAAGCAGGCTTACGATCCACTGCAAGGATATACATTCCTTCATGTTATGACCTCCCACCTTGTCCAACAGCCCAATAGCACTACTGAGGGACAAAACTTTCAACACATGGGTTTTTGGAGGATGCTTATCTATAACAATAAACACACATTGATAAGGATGTTTAGAAAGTTGATAATGTATTTTTTAGTCTGCATCAGAATAAAAGTCTATATTGCAAATTCACTCATGATTGTAGAAAATTTCCTAACAGTAATCCAGAAAAGTCAACCACAGATAATGATATTTTTTTTGGGGGACAGCAGCTCATTATATAGTTCAGTATGACCTTGAACTCACTATGTAACACTGGTTGACCTTGAACTCACAGAGATCCTTTTGCTTCAGTCTCCCAAGTGCTGGAATTAGAGACCTGTACCACCACATCTGGTACAGATAATGATTTTTAGTCTATACTATCAGTATTTAAATTTTTCTTATTAAATCTTATTAGATAAACAGTTTTTTATAAATGGCATGTCCATTGATGGGACAAAAATCAAACCAAAGTTAGTTTAATTTTGTTTATGTATTTAAAGGTTTCAGTTCATTGTCATCTGGCTTCAAAATAGAAACATAGTGGAAGGATATGATAAAGAAAATAGTCTCACTTTGTGACAACTAGTAAGCAGACCACAGAGCAAATGTAGTAGAGAGAAAGGGGTCAGGGATCAGATATAATCCCCAAGGTCACACCTACATGATTTATCCAGACACATTGAGAAATATGTATTAGTAATTTGCTAGCTGTCTCTTAATCCAATCAAGTTGATAATCTCTTGATAATCAAGATTAAACTTCTCAAAAAAACCCCTTTTCAACTTGATACCTGTATCTCTATAAACCACATTTAATCTTCAAAGACAATAAGCTCATAATTACACCTAATAAAACTTTACCATTTACAACCAAATATGCACTAATTCCATCCATCAAATCTCAATAGTCACAGCATTGCTGGAAAATCAAGTCCAAATTTTCTAAGACACATGATGACTCTTAGATGCTAGCTCTTGTAAAAATCAAAAAAACAAATTGTATGTTCCCTGGTTATAATAAAAAAGATAAATACTCTCATTCTAAAATAGAGAAATAATGCAATACAAAGGAATCAGACCAAAGCAAGATAAAAGCACATCAAGACAAATACTAAGTCCTTTAGCTCTATGATTGTTATCTGGGGTTTATGGTGTGATATAAATCCTGAAGTATTAGAAATACAAACTCATGTTGTTTTGCTCATCTCAGTCCTCTCTCTCAGGTTTCTTCTACTATTATCCTGAGGCTTTCCACAGAGGACATGGTACAAGTTTCTTGGTCTCCGGTGGAGATTTTGCCAAACTCCTGCTGGTTTACCGATTTCCCAGTGAAGATCTGATGCTGAGGACTAGGCACTATTGCGTAGCTTTGCCTGGTCTCTAAGTTCTTTCTTTGAAATAGTAGTGAAACCCTCCGGGACCCCACTATTCTTGTATTCTGCATGCCTGAAGAACAAATATCACATGGACAATGGTAAGGTCTTTTTCCAGCATGAGCAGTAGCTGGGACTTCTAGGACCACCTCTGTAGCAGGTATTCAGTACCTGGATAGCTGAACGGAGTGA